CAGAAAGAAAAAATTCATGGTAGCTGGCCTGGTCCAATGGAAGAGATATCTGGATAAGCCCTAGGATCAGCAACATAAACAGAGGTAGATGTCAGATAGCAATGGAATCAAGGCAAGCAGACCCTTTGCTGAACTGATTTGTATTCTACTCTGACAGACCTATTGGGAGGATAGTAAGGCAAAATATCATGACATGGGACTACCTCAGTAAGAGAATTTGAGACTGTCATGTTATCTTCATAAATCCATGGGACAAACAAGAAATGAACATTATTAAACAAGGCTGCAGTACAGCATATATGAGTCCACCGTTCAAAAAAATGTAATAAAATATGCAGGCTCCCTTCCACAATCATGAGCTACCTTCCCCTTCCCCGTCCCGTCATGCATCTTGAAAACTGAGCCCGTGGACTCAGCTCCTGTTTTGTTTCTGCAGCAGTTCCTCTGGGGTGTGTGTAGAAATCCTTCTTTGTCCCAACTCTTTTGATTTCCCTCTTGCAATGGAAATAATTAGCTAGCCCAGATAATTAAGCATATGTGAATGAATGGACAAGAAGGAGATCTAGTTATACTCTGCTGTCCTGAATTTTGACTAATAGGTAGGGGCTCAAGGAAAAAGCAATTCATTTGTGTAACAGGTACCTCAGGTGTGCTGTTAGTGCTCTCACTCTTTTCCAATAGGAGTTCTGAAGTTTAAACCCAAGAGTTTCTGCATATCCTCTTTATACCTCTTTTTCTATTTAGTCTTAGTATGGGGAACCGAAACTGTTGGTGAGAGAATTACCTAAACCTCATTATCAATCTTTTTATATATGTGGCAAAATGATCTGCAAGGGGAGGGATATGACAACATGTGTCATAAATCTCACCCTTTACAAACCTGTGTTCAATATCAGGTTGCATGTTTTGTCCCTTTTATGTCATTATGGTTAAGAAAATGTATCTAGGTGTAAAGGACTAGGCTATGAAGTGGGCAGTGCCTGGGCTCTATTCCGTTTCCTGTTCCCTATCTTCTACTTCTGTCCTTTCATAGATGTAGCTAGCTGGGTATGAAAAACATGATTTAGCTTCAATTCTTCAACTCTCTGGTTTAAATTTGTATTTTACACCATGTGCTTCCTACCCTAGTGCTCTAGGTCAGCCTTCCTCAACCCGAGTACCTCCAAATGAGTAGATTTTAGCTATCCTGTGGAGTGAGCAGTAGGGCTGATCACTGCTAAATATTCTGGAAGTTGAAAGGCGTAGGTTTGAAATGGACAAATCAGAACAAGATTCTAGACAGTATATTAGTATTCATTCCTATAAGAAAATGGTCAAAGTTCTCATCATTGTTTGTTCGGGTTCTTACTTTTCTCTCTAAAACAAAACAAAACACAATACAACAAAATCTTCTTAAGCAGGACTTGCTTAAGCAAAACCAATTTCACTGTTATACAAGCCTCTTTTGAAGCAGCCTTACTGAACATTTTAGCACATTATCTTCTACTTCCTTTCCTGTGAATCTGTTACTCAAAACCATGATTATTTATTGCATGTATTTATAAATCTCAGGAGTACAAACCCAAGCATGTAGGAGTCCCCAAATAATCTTCACTTCAGTGCCCTTATATCTATGCCTTTAGTTGTTTCATTCCCGGAGCTAAGAACTCCATGGCACAATGTCTGAGCATCAGCTGGGAAAGGTGTGGCAAGGCTACATTTGCATAATGTTATAACCAGTTATTTCAGCCCATTCTACAAACCATTTTATTCTAAATGACACAGAATAAAGCACTTTCAGTGCTTACATGTGTAAGCATGTAAGTGAGGGATTCAAATTTAATAAGAAATATATAGAAATATCACAATGTTATAGAAGCATGTCAGTGTTGCTACATACTGGCTCTCCCCATGCCTGGCTGATAAGAGTGGATTTTAGTATGCTGCATCAATGTGAACATTGCCGGTTGCACAATATTTTTTATCATTGTGTTCTTATTAGTTCCTTCTCATTATTTTGGAAGGGAATACAATAAATGGAATGTGGCACTAATGCAACACAGACATAACTTGGCCATGTTATCTTTGATGACGTGCTAGGACAGACTAGACTCCCCTGTCACTGGAGGAAAATATGATTCACTGTTGGTACAAAATTGGTCACTAAAGAGGAAGTGATGGAGGGAGGCTGTAGGTTCATATATGCCAAACTGTATAATTCAGAGTACTTGTCTGTTTGGGACAAGAACTTATTGGGAACAATCTAGCACAGTGATGGCGAACCTTTTAGAGACTGAGTGCCCAAACTACAACCCAAAACCCACTTATGTATCATCAGGTGCCGGGTGGGTGTGGCCCATTGGGTGGATGTGGCTGCGGTGGTAATGGCAGTCTGGGTGGGACTAAAAAATTCAATCAATTCCAGCTTTGCAAGATCTTTTTTTTTCCCCACGAGAAGTTGAAATTGATTGATTGAACCCTTTTTTTTTTTTTGCACACAGTGGCGGAGGCCTAAAGCAAAAAGGTTTTATAAAACCCAGCTGAAGGCCTAGGACTGGTGCGACGGCACGCGTGCCCACAGAGAGGGCTCTGCGTGCCACCTGTGGTATGGCTAGGTTCGCCACCACGGATCTAGCAAGACCATAATAAGGAAAGATTTTTCCATTGATTATTATAATGAGTACCCATTCTGACTCTTTCTAAGTCACAGGTTAAGGCTCTGGTTTTCAACATGGAGCATATTCATTAATGAATGATGGCTCCTTTCAAAAATGCACACCAGTTGCTAAATATATACAAAAATACTCGAAAAGATATCTGTCTTCAAGCAAGCAAGAATAACATTTTGTTTGAATCTTCTCTTTCAGACTCTTGGAACTCCCCTCAATCTTGCAGAAACAGCACTGTTTGTCCTGTGGAAAGGGTAGAGAAACTGCTACCATTTCCAAATTGGACTACCAATAAGAGTTTTAGTAAGTGTTTAGCACTTTAAATAACTAGGAATCTGAAAAAATCCCTGCCTTTGCCTTGAGAAACTAAACTAGTTAATTGTTGTTTTCCTGCCTGTAGAAGATAACTATTTGATCTCACTCAGTGTGCTCCATCTGTGTAGTTACGTATTTGGCCCTGAAAAACCAATCCACACTATGTCAATCTGGGGGGAGAATACAGTCCAACTTGTCTAAATTAGGAGAAAAATCCCCCCCTCTTTCATTATCTAGCATAGAAAACCAAACAGCAATTACTTTGTGTTCCCCTCCAAACCCTCCCCCCCCATTCCTCCCAAAAACCAGAATTGGATGAAGCATGCAGGAAAGCATTGTAAATAGAGGATGCTCACCAACTGCTCATCATAAATATTAGCAAAAAGTGAAATATCTTTATAATCAGTTTCTAAAGTGCTGAATACTTATTTTGTTAATTGTTTTTTTACCAGAACACAACAAAATGTAGAGGGAAAGTTAGATTTTTATGAATAAAGCATATCATTTTTATAGAAATTTGTGCCTCTTTTTCAAACTGTACTCCTTTAAATTTTAATTTTGTATTTTACAAAGTGCTAATACTTTTCTATCTTGAGTGAAGATGTGTAAGATATACAAGTCTTTTATAGGGGATAAATGTGTTAAAAATTCAAGCAGATGCAAAGAGGAGGCAGTAGTAAAGAATAAGATATTATTTTATGAATGCAGTGAACTGATTGTCAAGTATTAAGAGTGGGGAAGAATATAAACTTAACATAATATCTAAACCAGTCAGGTTGTTAACCATTACAAAAGTTTTGCTTATGTAAATGGGAAGACAGACACAGGAGACAAAATAGTCAAAGATTCTCCAACATCTTTTCTCTATCTAGCCTTCAAGATGGTAGCAATAGACAAAAAGATGGTAATGTTATGAGAATCAGTCTGATTTGAGGGTGCATATGTCAATTACTGAATCAAATACTCTCCTTTCCTCCTCTTCTTATCAAGGCATTGCACAAGACTAAGCACATTATTCCTGAAAAAATGAGGATATATAAATGAATGCAACTGTGGGATGTATAGGGTAGCAATAGCAATACCACTTAGACTTATATACCTCTTCACAGTGCTTTACAACCCTCTTTAAGCAGTTTATAGAGTCAGTGTATTGCCCCCAACAATCTGGGTCCTCATTTTACTGATCTTGGAAGGATGGAAGGCTGAGTCAATCCTGAGCCAGTCAGCATCGAACTGCTGGTAGTGGGCAGAGTTACTCTAACCACTGTGTCACCATGGCTCTATGGAGCTCTTTGAATCAGAGACGGAACAGATTAAGTTGTTTATGCCACCCCAAGTAAGTTAAAAATGACCCCAAGATGTTCTGATCTACTCCAGATTCCTGGATCTTTCTAGATGATTTGATGTACTGTAGATTCCTGGCAGTCAGTGTATATCATAATCAATTATTAAAAATACATTACTGTATAAATGTTCTGCACCTGGAAGTGATGACTGGAGCTGTATAGATCATGGGTTCTCAAGAGAGTATTTTAAAATACTATTACATTAAGGTCTTGGATATCTTGGACATATTAAAAAAAGGGGGAAGATGTTCTTTACAGGAGACGATGTTCCTTTGGGTTGCTGATGAGTAGGATTTGAGCATAATAATAATTAATAACTGGATCATTGTTAGCTTAAATGAATCAAGAAGTTGCCAGAAAATATAACTTATTTAAAAAGCAATGAGCAATTTAATAGTTCCATCTGTGATTTTATGACTGTATCACCCATCAATATCATTGGTAGGGGAAACGAACTTACAATGCTCCCACAAAGCAGTTAATAAGAACTCAATTTATAGAACAAAGCAACATGAAAATACTACATGTGGAAACCTGTGTCTTTGTTGCTAACATACACAGAGTATTAAAATACTGAGTGAAGCCATTTTTTAAGGTAAGACCACATGAAGGAAACATGAGAACTGTATGCAGAAGGAACAATGATATAGAGAAACTGGAGGAATTATATTCTTAAGAAGTCACAGCCACCTCATAGGTAATTTAATTTTATTGCATTTTATAATGCCATTGTCCATACAGATTACATGCAGCTAGATCTACTGTACAAGGGTTTACCGTCTGCCAGAGCAGACACACAGAAGTCCAGAATACAAATACACAGCAATGCTATTTCCTTTATACAGCATGGATATACGGCAGTGTGAAGCAGTAAGAGGAGGATGGATCAAAGGATTACAGACATCCTTCCCAGTAATCTTTCACTTCACACTGACTTGCCACCTGCTAAAAGGATGATCACATCAAACCAACAAATGTGAGGAAGAAAAAACCCACAATATTAAAGGTCACTGCATGTCTCGCCTCTTTCCTTATATTTTCCTGAGTGCCAGGAAAAGGAAATGATAGCAGAGTGCTGACATGTCAGTGTTTCCCCACCTTCCCACCACACATTGGGTACTAGTATGAGGGAGAAGATACCTATTCGCAATAGAGAAGATTTAATTAGAAGAAGCCCCTTGGGGCCAACATAAAATATTACAAATGAACAAATCAGATCATTGCAGGAGACATGCTAACCTCCCATTTTCATTCAGTGAGATCAGAGACCCGCTGGCTCATGCTGAACTGCTCACGCTGATACAATTTTAGAGTCACCAGTCATTGGTTCTTGGGTGTTTTCCTGCCACCTGAGATTCAGTGAGAGATTTGGAAGACAAGAACACCAAGTGAAGCAGAGCCTCAACTCTTTGGGAGGGCCCAGAGAAACATTGTTTCGTAGAGCATCCCATCAAAATGAAGGGGCAGAGCAGCGGGTCTTCAAATCTTACTTCTATAGTAGAACCGCATGGTTATTTAAAAAAATAAAATAAAACAAGAGGACTCCAAACTGACAAACCTTCAGCACTTTGGAATAAATCTAAATCTGGAAAAACAAACAAAATATTCCCCTGAAATTATGGAGCATTTCCACATTTATGTGGCTCAGGGCAACCAGGAATTCAGAATATGGATAATACAGGGCAAAATCCTAGGGGTTTTTCAGAGAAGGATTTCTGTCGTTCACCCTGAAAAATAACTATATTAAAATTATGTAAACATACAAAACTGAAATACGGACACCTTTGGTTTAATACAATGTGTATTTTAAATTCTGTTCCTATTTTTCTAACTTCAGGAACCAATGAGGGAAAGGAAATTATATCATTGTCCCAGTTTCTTTTTTAGCAACCATCTATCTCCTTCCACTATTTCTACTGACTAATTTAAGAGAGAAAACAAGCCAAAAACAACATAAGGAACTGGAACAGCATCCAAGTCAAGTCAAAGAGAAATATAAGAATGGCTTCCTAAATTCCAGAACAAGGAAAAAAAAACCCTTCCTAAATATTCCCTGCATTAGTCTCATCACAGGATAGTTAAACAGACAATAATCTAATTTTAGTAGGTTTTCAACCAGCATATATATCAATATATACATATACTATCCTGCCACAAATTGTGTTTGGTCTTTCCCATACTACCCCTTTAAAAGCCATTTTGAGGTAACAACAAAAATAAAATATTTTTTTAAGACAAAAAAGAAATCCCCCCAAAATAAGTACTATATGCAGTTTTGAATGAAATAATTTGGTGGACATAAATGTGCAAAAATAGATGTACCTAATGTAAGCAAGAGTCTGGGAAGGGTGGCACTGGTATCAGGTGCCAAAGAAAGGAGGCTCCTCAAGGCTCACACCAGTGGGTTGCTTCAGCAGTCAGGAATAAGGGGCAAGGAAAATAAAATCACAAGAGCTTGAGGCCACCAACACAAAATTTTAAATACTATTCTTCCATAGGACCCATGGAACAATAATACATGGGCATATTTGACAAAGTAGAAGCAGTTACATAAATGCCATTGTTTATTTCTTACTGTGTCCATGTATATTTGCATATACATCGTTCAAGTGAAAAAGTGAACTGAATTTGCTGATCACAAACAAAAAAATAGAATTAGAACTAATTCCTTAAACCCTTATAGGAGAAATGTAATTTAAATAAAGGACCAATGAGTTTGAAAATGTTAGAAGAGACTCTTGCAGATGAAATCATGGCTTTAGTACCTACTCAACTTGCTTACTCAAATAGGCATATCCTTCTCATTTAACTGCTTGATTTTGCTAGGAAGGAAACCAGGAGGACAGATGTTATTGCTAAAATTTAAATAGTCTCTTAATACAGAATAAACATTCTTCCTCACCCACCCTTCTTGGATTCCTTAGGTGCCATTTATTTATTTATTTTTTAGTTTATCTGAATTTATGCTATTATAACAGAACAAATACTGACCAAAGAAGAGGGCAGAACCAATTGGTCATCATTTGCTTGTGATTTGCTCACACTATTTAAGGTTTTTTTTTATATAAATCAACCCACCTTATAGATGATATGCAATCGAATTCCATCAGGACACAAATGCTCAAAGTCATAATTAGAAAAAAAGGGTCAAATGATACATTTAAACAAAATGGCATCAGCGATGTCAGATGTTGGGAACTAAAGCTTTAGCAGTTCAATCTGGGAGAAATTTCAAATTCCCAAGATGTTGGGGGACAAAATCACCCCAAACTGAAGATCTTTAGGGAACCGCATATTTATTCAGTGATACTGAATTACATTCTTTCTTCAGTGTACTTTTAAGAGACATATCAGGATTAGAAAAATACTTTTAAAGCCCTATAAACTGTGCAAACACCTGTAGGCTTCTCAACGCTCTCAAGACAAATGTATATAATGCAAGTCCTCATTAATTGCAAGTGTAATCAGCAGACAGTCTTTAACTGAAAGTCAATAGATTTAGGATCTGCTTCTCAATTTATTTCATTGTAAGTTTTGAAAAAAATTATTTTGCAATTTTTCCCCCTGCTGGGACAGTATGACAATATTGAATAAATGAAATTACACTTCTAAGTAATCTTTGTTGGGAATGCTAGGACCACCAAATAAAACAAGAACTATGGTGATATACAATAATTTTGCTTTAAGTCACAGGCACAAATATGAAGAAAAATCCATCATTCCAAAGCCTCATTACTTACTTTCCAATTCTTAGATATGTGCTGGTTCCCTTTAGGACCAGGCCTAGATTCTAAGCCAATCTAACTGTAAGAGTTACCTATCTACCTCTCATATTGACAAGTTGGTAATAGAAGCCTAGTTTCGGCACATAAGGCAGACATTTGAAAAAAGTACACCCAATATTTTAAACCTCATCCACTACAAAAAGAGATGGGGAAAGCATCAGAAGGAAAGGGCCACTTGTTTGAGGAACTTAATATTGTCACAGCTTCCAAGACCTAAAACGCTTTCCTTCAATAATCACTAACACAATGACTTGATTCTCAAAGAATAAACCTGTCTTTGAGTTGAATCACTTCAGGCTTCAAGTAGCAGATCATGTGGCTAAATTTTCCATTTTTTTAAAAAAAAATTCTGCACGGAAGAAAGTTGCTGTGAGATGAAAGAATATTTAGTCACATGACTTCCTTTCCTCTTGCAGGCTGATCTGACATAGTTAACCACAGACAGATCCTGTGAGAGCTACATTTAAAGCTATCCTCTGAGGCAAGGGTGTCAAACCGCCAGCCTGTGGGCCGGTTTCATCACATCGAAGCTATGCCCACCCCATTGCCAGCAATGCAAAAAGAGTCGCGATATGTCATGTGGCGTGGCTAGTTTAACACCAGTCCTCTGAGGATATACATATATTAATACTGTCACATGAAGGCAGGAAAGAGCTGTAACTGGCAGGATTATTTTAGTCATGAAATACAATCTGGAGTTGCTCCATCCTGGGCAAAATGGAATTCTAGAGGCTGCATTGTTTGCCTTTATGCAGCAGTAAAGGGCTGAAATCATTTCCCCTGAGAGATAGTAAATGCCTAATGAAGTATGGATAGGATGAAAGGGAAACATCCCAAACTTTGTCAAGATTCTCAAGAAAAAATGGAAGGCTACCCTAACAGGGGTTATATCAGAAAGCCAACCTAGATTACAGATATCCACCAAAGAATTGTTGTTTCTTGGAGTGTTTCTTTAGAACAATGATAGTAGCATATTGCTTGATTATGCATTGGGGGGAAACTCTGTCCAACGACTGTTTAGTATATAGTGGGAAAGGCTTAAAGACTAACTTTCTGTCTGTCAGTAACTTTTCCTGTTCTGTAGCCCCAGATGACCTTTCCCCATTCTGTTACCTGGAATGAGATAGTATTAGAAAAGTTTTAACTGCTAAATACATATTGCGCAACACTGCAACGACAGCCAAGTTAGGCTGTACAATGCTTTGGATTTGAAGGCAAAAATATGCTTTGGAGTTCACAAAGGTGGGAATGTACGGTAGCTTGTCTGGAATGCCTTAAACTCAAAATATGTTTCTTAGGGTTGCTATACTAGCAAGACACTACATTAGTTCCCTTATATGTGCCAAAGCACCTTTTCCCCTTGAAATCTGAAGTGCTCCCTAGGTCTATGAGTACTATTTAGCTCTCAATTTACAATGGGTAGTTCACTTATTAACCCCAGGGTATCATGCTTTCTTTTTCTCGTGCCTCTCTCTTTAAATGGGTATGGATGAACAAACCCAAACAGCAAGGCAAATGTTTTGGTTTGAACAGAGACAATTATATTTGTAAAAAGAATCTCTTCTCAATGTTGGGATGGTTTAACAGTTTAACTCTTGACTGTACAGTACCAGGAAACATCACTTTAATACTGGCAGAAAACGTATATCCTGGGCATCTCAGGTCCAGCTGCAGATGTCCAACAAACGGTTGGTATTGTACCAGGATCAGGCAAGAGAAAAAACTGAAATCAGTGAATCAGGATGGTAGCAACTTCGAGAAGATCAAACTTATAATAATGCAGCTGTAATTCTAGGATTGACAGAAAAGGGAGCCAAAGACCAAATACAACAGCACCATAGTATAGCCATTTAGTTCTAAAACTATTTGCAAAGCAATTTGACACAATAGAGGACTACAAATTGTGATGCAGTCAAAGTTCCAAAAAGCACCTCAGTGCATGTGCAGAGAGTTGGGTCTAAACATTACACATTCCAGAATTTACCATTTTAGGTTGCAAGAATCTGCTTTTTTAAAATGCAACTCAAAGTAAAAAAAAAAATCAATGAAAAGAGAACTTGCATATGTTTATGAATAAACTATGCATAATTTGTTTTTCTGATGCATGACTTTACTATAAACTAGGAGGTCTTATTTATGGGAAACAATTACAGGATGTGACTTCAGCAACACCTGCAACGTTCTCTAATTCGCACAGTGCATTTGTAGATCAACAGTCCAAAGTTTCAGATGTTACAATGAATCTGCTGTATTTCAGAAACTTAAGTTACCCAACAGTGCTTCAAAGAAAATACCAGGCTCTCAGTTTTGGGAAAAGAAGAAGAGGTTAGGGCAATTAACCCTTTGAAAATTAAAAAGAAAAAAAAAGAGGAAAACAAGAGAAAAATTCCAATGTGTATAAAAAACAGTTGAAAAGTTAACATGAAATAAAGACAGTTCTGACCTGTAGAAAGAAAAAAAGAAAAAAGAAAAAGAAAATCTCCAGCAGCAAGATAGAAGTAGGTTCAGAAGAGACCCATGGAATGCCAATCACCCTAGGCTTCACAGCGTACCCTTGGTTCAAGAAACTTCAAACACAAAGCAGCAATCCATGCTCCCGATACAACTTCATCAGAAATGTACAAAACAGCACCTGTAAACTTTGATTTAAATAATAACTTAAAATCAAAAGAAAGTGACAAAAGGGCTAGGGGGATGCAGGATCTTTGTGATTTTTTTTTTCCTTTTTGGCTGATGCCAAAAGTTAGAATAAGTCAGAATAAAAGCACCAAACAAACAAAAATATTAAGTGTTTTGGTTTATGCTTCTTGACTAAGCAAGGTCTTTGGTAAATGATTAAGCCAATTGCAAAGCATTCTATAGAGGACACCAGGGAGACATTTAAATAGGTCCCAAGAAAAAAATGAGGTGTGGTGTGTTTTTAGTAAAAGGAGGATACATTTTCTTGAGCTGCTTCTGGGGTAAAGCTGGGACCCGAGAGATGGATAATAAAAGTGTTGAGGTATTCTTAGTGCTTGCAGTCCTATATTGCCTGTCTTTGTGGTCCTTGAAAAGGAAGCCACTTGTTGATGGTTCTCTAAGGAGGCTCAAAAAAGCTGTTGTAATTTGATTCACACCCCATAAACATGATCATCTCCAGTTTTCTGCAGCTTAGACACTGTTGGCCGAGCAATTAATTTTATCTAAATAACAAACTTTACAATTTTGCTTGCCTGTTAGAAATAGTAAGAAACGAAGTAGGGGAAAATGCATGTTCAGTAGAGCCCCATACTGTAGGCTCTAGGAATCAAATCCTGACAAATTTTCTTGCAGTCATAATTCAGAAATGGAAAATATTTTTCATTTTTGGTGTTCTTGTACTGTAGGCTCTAGGAATCAAATCCTGACAAATTTTCTTGCAGTCATAATTCAGAAATGGAAAATATTTTTCATTTTTGGTGTTCTTGATTTTACCTAGATTTAAAATCAGTTTGAATCATTTTGACATATTTAGTAAATTGAGAATCTTGGAGAAGGGGAATTTTAGAAAGGAAGTATAAACTGTTTGTTAGATGGACAATGCCAAGAGTTAGATTAAACATTTTCAAATTTTAACAGATCTGAGGTTTGAAGTCAAGACATTTTCTCCACCATGGAAAAAAGATGAAGACTGGCCAAGATCAGCCAGCTACCATTTCTTTCCTTTTTTTTAATGCTAGTATGACACACCATAGCCCTAACTAGGAGATAGATCTATTTTAAAAACTGAGCAAATAGAGATTATCCAGTGCTTTAGAGTTGTTGCAAAGAATAATCCTGCATCTTTTTTTTAAAGAGAGAAAATTTGATTTGGGCTAAGAAATTTGACACCAATCACGTACAAACAGAAATCTGTGACAGATCAGGAATAATGTTCCTTTTTCTGATAGGTAAAAAGGCTCAAGTGCTACCTGATTTATTATAATCTTGGGAATTAAGAGCATTTTTTTAAAAAAGATGGTCTGTTACCATAGTTGGCCAGCTGCGGAAAAGGACACTAAGAATGTACTGTATTTGAGACAAATGGAGCAATTCTGCATATAAGGAAAATACAATCCCCCTCTTTTCTCTTCCCCTTCGAAGTCAAAAACACTTATGTTACATATTATCAACTGCCATGAGCTGCATAGTGTTTGGAGCAATGAAAAAGCATTATTTAACAATGAAAATCAGAAGAGTAGAAAGCAATCCTAAATTAATCAGAAATATGCTGACGAAGTATTCTTGAGCATCTTAGTTTGGGGAGGTCATTTAGCATAATTATCAATATTGAATGTGACTATTCACACATAGCTGTGATGATTTATTTTCTTCATGGACTACAGAGTATAGAAGAGGAACAGCTGTCATTTCAGAAAACATCAAATTGCCTGGATCAGCTCTTCTCCAAAATAATGGGAGGAACTCCTATATTCCAATTAGGCCTGAAAATAAATTTCAGAGATTTCCTGATGGGAAAGGGAAGCATGTGTTGGTTTGTTGTGGAAAGACTTCCTTAGAAACATTAATATCCATCTTCCTTGAGATATTGGATTCTTGATCATACAGAAAGCAAACCAGTTTCTCAATCAGCAACTGTCACAGTCTCAGTAATCAATGAGGGGCATTTGGGTTGTTCTTTCATGGGGGGAACAGCAAAGTAGCCTTTGGAAACCTGATGTTTTCTGTCATGCGAAATGCTCTTTAGATTTAAAAAAAAAATATTCTGATGTGAGGCATCAGACAATTGATAGAATCAAGTAAGGGGAAACTTTGGGTCAACACTATTCATCTGACACATTTAATTCTTGTTATTAGTTTTGAAGCATCTTTTTTCCCACATTGGCTTACAGCTAAGAACTAATGAGTAGCACAAGAGTTGCGAGATAGGATATGTTTCTACTAGAGAATGTCAGAGGAAACTGAGTGCTCCTTTGTAGCTTTGTTCTGGTTGGTCACAAAGGTGGGGAATTGCTTATCTTACATTTATACAGATATATTGCTTTGAATTCTGTTTGGTCAACCCAGTTTTGGTCTGTTCCCCACAGCCATAAATTTCAGCTTATCCCCCCTTTCCTACCCCAAGTGCTTGAGATGTTGGTAGCTTTGCCAAATCAGCGGTATTTACATCTGTTAAACCTTCCCATTGGTCACATAAACAATCAAGGAGTCATGCTTTCTGGCTTCAATATTTGCTGGAATGGAAGAAACAGGATGGCAGCTGATAGAAGCAAGCAAAAGATTCATCTTGCAGAAGTCTTCCCCTGATTCAGTCTCAACCATTATCTTGTCTGCTGGCTGCCCATATATAGGCTTCTGAAAGTGTTTAAAATTATGTCATGGCAGGGAATGGACATTCATTCCTGGATTTTGTGCAGAATAAAGCTTTGTAAGTTGAAGACTGGCTGTCAATCATGACTGGTGATAGAAGAATGCTTCTTGAATTTGGAAAGACGCAAACACAGGTTGGAAAAAAGAATAACCAAGTGGTTTTATATGTGGCAGTAACCCCTTGCTATCCTATAATGTATTTAACAAAGTAAGGTCAGTTTTTCATTTTTTGCCCAGTCAGAAAATGAACATAAATTGCAACATTAGGACCTTGGCAGAAGTCTTGCTTCCATTGCTATTCCAGTACTCTGAAGTGGTGTTACAGTGGCAAGGATGTATGTGTGTAAGAAATGGAGACAGTGCATGTGTGAAAGTAAGAAAAAGTGAGAATAGATTCCTCCTAGTGCAAAGTTCTCAGTGGGATTACTGGCAAACTATTGAAAATGCTTTCCATGGGAAAATAAGGGACATTCACTGAAGCCTTTGGCTTTGATATTGTCCCTTAATATACTGGATGCTTCCAAAATCTTGATTTGTAGAAACCAGGCATATGGGTTGAAAATGACAAAACACAGAGCAGACAATACAAGACAGCTTCTTTTTTATCCCCATGAGATGGGGGTATGGGGAGGGGAGGCAGCAAAGAAGTCTTCGGACAGAAACAACCTACCATCCTCGTTTACCAATTACAAAATTTAAAAAAAAAATAAGAAAAGGAAAAAGCTCAACTCCGGTTTTTGTTTTTTTTCCACATCCCCTCTGTGAATGTCTTTTAAGAGTCATTGGGATGTAAAAGGGGAAAAAAAGTGTGTGCCTTCAGCAGTGGGTAGGCTCGTGGAAAGCCTTTTGCTTTGTAGAAGTGCCTTAACTAAGTAATGCTGAAGGTCACCTTGAGGAGATGGGAGCCATTGCTTTGTCTCTGGGAAATGATGGGCCCTATATGAAGATGAAGGGCCCTTAAGACAAGTCTTCCACTGGCAGTTCCTCCTCTAGGTCTCTGTCATCAGGAATCGTCACATTCTGATTGGTAGTTGCCATGAGAGAAACAGGTCTGCTGTCATCTTCTGTCTCAGCTGGTTCTTCCTTCACATGCACTTGATGGCTGAAGAACAAAATTTTGGAGAATCAGGTGGAATTAGAACAAATACAATAACAGTCTACAAGAGATTGGCAAGAGAGTTAGCAGATGGAACTACAGTATATAACAGAGGATCAGAGGTTAAACGGAGTATTTGCTTAGCTGGATAGCAATACTCTTCTGACTCTCATCCAGATCCTAAACACCCAGGTCTCTATATATTTTCAGTGAAACAGAAATATTCAGTTTAGCTTAGTCAATTATAGAGTATTTCATTGTAATTTTAATCTATGGTTTCCTAGGAGATTTTTCCAATGATTACATTTTTGACATTAAGAAAAATATTCCTTTTCTCCATAGTTTCTAAACATTGTAAACTAGTTCCTTTTGTCAGTACAAGTAATACAAATACATTTTTCAAGATATCTTTTGATGACTGGACCATAGTAAAAATATCTACCTGTTACTAAGAATAAATAGGGCAATATTCACTGGAGCTCTTAATCAATAGTGTTATTGATACAAGACAAATAACAAACAAACCTATAGATTGCCACTGTAAGCTCTGTTATGAAAAAATATATAACTGTTTTGAATTGCAAATCTTATCTCAGTATTACTAAGAACCTTGTATGAAAGTCCAGGCCATGCCTACTTATTGACAAAAATAAGCAACTGATGAAGTGGACTAATTCATGAAAGCTCACATGATAATAAATCTCTTAGTTTTTACTGTCTCAATATATTTTCTTTTTGCTGTAAAAGCCTAATATGACTATTTTTGGACATCATTAACAATAGAAGTTCTAGATCTATTTCCAGTTTGCATAAACTCTTGAAAAAAACCTAAACTGATTTTCTACTAAACTGTAAGAGACATTTAAAGACTTCTGCATCTAGTAATCTTGCTTCTGGAAATAGCACTGTATTAGCACTTCCAAGAAACTTCATTTAATTTCAATATATGAAGCCTTTATGCAATGGTGGGATTCAAATATGTGACCAACTAGTTCTCTGTATGGATGCTGCTTCCAGAAGTCCGTTCTGGGCCTGGGCAACAAAAAATTAACTACCGGTTCTGCTGAACTGGTGCGAACTAGCTGAATCCCACCACTGCCTTTATGATTAAAAAAACACCTTGTTTCTGGGCTTACTTGTACTGCTGTGGTGAAAGCCGGGGGCTATTGCTGCCATTGCTGTTGACTTGTTCTACAGTGCTGCTCACATCATCATGGCCTATGTGCAGCATGCCACTAGTGGAGCTTGTGTTGATCATGGTGGGACTATTCAGAAGAGGAAAGTTGCTCTCAGCCAGAGCTGCCTAAACATAAACAGCAACTGGTATAATTCACAAATTCTTAAAGAAATCAGATATGACATGTTTAGAAAACAACCCCAGATATTTATTTACTTAGAAAATGGTTAATATTTTGCCTTATACTAACAGTAGCTTTATTTTCCAGAAAAAAATCAAAGGTTTAGACTAATAAACATTTATTACTTTATTAAGAATATTTATTTTCTACCTTTTATTTCAATAATATTAGTTAGGATGGCTTACAAGGAATAGGATGGCTTACAAGGAAAAATAATTCAACCTAGATAACTAAAAGACATTTGAAAGTCCCATCAGTTTCACCTCTATGGTTTTATTCCTTTACGATTTTATCCATTTAAAAATATTAAGACAAAAACCTTGGTCTGTTTGAAGCAGATGTCAGAAATATAAGCTTTCTAGGTGTGCTGATAAGCTTTTGGTCATTGGCTAAGATGATCAGAAGCTTAATTTAATGAGATTCATTAAATAGCTATATGTCACTCGTTCCCTAACAGAAAATATGCCTAAAACATCTACAAAGCTAGTCCATGTTGGGATCCAATGCTATCTTTTATTCCAGTCTGTTATTCCCCATCGGAGGAGAAGGATAGTAGAGGGATCAATCCACTGACCAAAGCTCAAAGCATTCAGCTCCAAGAGAGACTATCTATTCTCTCATTTCCTGTCACCGATTTCTTCTCACCTTGCTAAAAGTTAGAACTTATACTGTGAAGCAAAAACAAGCAAACACTGCAATGTAACTGAAACAACAAGAAGGTGGATATTGGAGTCCCAGGGGTGGTGAAGTGGTGTGGGCTATAGTGATCTGGTTCCTCTGATTATCTTGAGGAAAAAAACCACACTGAATATTCTGGAATATAAACTAAATGAAATAATGACTTCAATGATCATTGAAAGAGTTTTGAAGATTTTCTACAATGTAGTAGTACAAGATTCCAATAGAGCAGCAGTTTAACCAACCCAATATTCCCCTAACAAAGATGGCTTGCTGTAATAGAAACAAGTGTACTTCTCCACCTATAAAGACTTACCTGGTAGCTGGCATTAAGTGCTCCATAACTAAGGCCAGAAATCATGTTTTTCACTAAAGTTGGACTCCTGTAAACAAAAGATGCAGTTTTTAACATTCCTATTCAAAAACAAGAGTAAGATAGCAGAGATGTCTTGGAAAGAACACATTGTTTATCTCCGTTATTGTTTAGTCCTTCCCAATTCCCATAATTTACAACTCTCATAATACAAAACCAGCATGTTTAGGAGTATTGGGATATTGCTTGCCTAGCCTTATAATGCAGCTATTTACTCTCAATATATATTAAGTCCTGCTACAGTGTGTCTTGTTTTATTTTACACGTTGCCAGACTATTCAGGAAGAACTCCTGAAAAGAGAGGGGGAAAAATAGGTGAAGGTAATTTCTCCCTACTCCTTGCAACATAGCCATTATCATTATGGGAACAATTCTGGGTATTTTTTATTACTTTTTTAAAAATACTATTCATCCTGTTTTATGGTTGATGTTTCTCAGCTACTTGTAACACTTAAGGATGTTTCATACTATTGTGTATACAACCATGGTGGTAGAAGGCAAATAAGAGTTACGTAGGCGTGCAGTCTTACACAGAATAATATTAGCATGTTTAGAGTAAAACTGAGCTCTTGTAGAAATTATAGCATACTGGACAAAATGCCAAACCTGGCTGACATTTACCATTAGCAGGGAATTTTGTATGTGGTAAAACTGTGACTATGGCTGATAACCTTCTCTATTTTATTCTCCTCCCCTCCCCAAAACCCCATTGATTCTTGATTAATCAAAGCCATGATAGGCATTAGGCATTGGAGATCAGTATCTGTGAATCCATCTGTTGTTGACCATGGCATATAGGAAATTGAAAGACTGTTGAAATGCAGAATGTTTTTCCATTTACAAATGTACACAAACATACATATGAAATATAGTGAATGGTAGTGGTGTAAATTGGTGTAGATTTAGCTGTTAGCTGTGATATAAAAATAGTAATATAATAATTAAGCAGAAAGCTACAATTGGAAAACAAATGTTACTTTGTTTCTAAATCTTAGATATTTGGCTTAATATTTTTTAATTATTAAAGATTTTAAAAGTGATTTAACTATAAAATTAAAATATTTCTCTTTTATCTATATTATTTACATTGCCTCAGTTTTTATTGTATAAATAAACCTCTAAACATAGCTAATGGCAAAACAAAAAATGGCTTAGCGTTATTTAACAACATTTTGTCCACAATAAGGTACAGCACTACCGGACTGCTACCAGTGGTTCCCTCTTATTTATGGAATACCATTAGCCCCTTTCAGTTACTGTTTGCTATCTGACCTTTGTATCTGTTCATTCTGCCGAAATGCTTCAGTGTATTTTTACCACTGCTTCTACCTGCTGAGGTGACGTTTGCAGCACAATTCTACATATCCAAGAAGAATTCTTTTGATCATGCAAATTTCCAGAGATTAATAGTATGGCTATAGCAATAACACTGGTATCAATGCATATTGCATATACCAGATACTTTCTCTTTTCTCATTTCCACCTGGTCTTCTTTTGACTGTTCTTTATTGATAGTTGTGTAAAGTATCTTTATGACATTCCCAAGGGAACATTTAGTGACAAGGGTCTGATGCTGATAGGGAAAATTTACATTGCACACACCTATATGCACATGGAGTGTGAAAGTGAACACACAGCCAAATGATTATAAAATCATTCAGTAGTGTGCTGTGGTTCTTCACTCAAATAAGCCGACATGTCAACAGAAGCATTAGTTATTAAAGCAAAAGTTAAAATATGGTTCTAAAAACCTAAATGTATAATGAAGTCCCTCAAGAATGCAATAATCCAACAAGCCTCTCAGTCACCTCTTTTCCCTGGATCATTTGGTGGGTATTATATTGGGGTTAAATACTCATTTCAAAAATATACTACTAGCTTATGCTATGTACTATTAGCTTATAATATATCAGTGATGGCCATAAGCCTAGATATTTTTAAAAGCATTCATGGAAGCTATGAATGACTAATAGTTATGACAGATATATATCGGTATGAAAGCCAATGCTCCTATTCCAGAGCTCCCGTGCACTTCCCATCTCCATGTAGTCTGGACTTTGCATACGCCCAACTATTCTCATATCTCAGCAGATGGCATCATTAGCTTACCTTGTCTGTGTTCAGAAACTAAGCAGGGTAATATATAAATCTGAGATCACCAGAAAATAACACGAGTATAGGCCAGTTTCAATATTAATATTATAGAAAACCACTTAGGTTTTGTGTGTTATGTTTATTTAGTCACTAAGTCAGGGGTCTTCAAACTTGGCCCTTTTATGACTTGTGGACTTCAACTCCCAGAATTCCTCAGCCAATCTGGCTGAGGAATTCTGGGAGATGAAGTCCACGAGTCATAAAAGGGCTAAGTTTGAAGACGCCTGCACTAAGTGTTATACTCAAGGCCACCTTTACTTTTTCAAAATTGTTCTCAGATTGAACCATAAAGCTACCTGACAAGCTATCAGACATACCCGGTCATCTTTGGTGGCCTTCTCTTTTGGTACTCATGTTCATCTACTGTCCACACTGCTCCCTTGACATTTTCCACTCGCACAAAGCACTTATGCAGGCTCAGGTTGTGGCGTACAGCATTCTACAAGCAGAGTAGAGAGAAAAACAGAATATTATCAAAGTAGACGAAGATCTCCCATTTAACAGTTCCTCTCCAATAAAATTTTCCAATTAATTTTTGTGTTAACCAAACATAGCCTCCTACAGAGCTGTCACCAGCAAAATGATATCTATATTCTAAACAACTCTATATAACAGTGTTCTAAGGAAGGATTGGTTTCACTTTATCACATGCTGAAATCAACATATAGTAATTATTGTAGCAGACAGGTTTTTGTTGAATTATCTCAATTCAATTGTCCTATAATATTGCTCATTTATACCCCTTGATCTGTATGAAATCTTTGCTACTAAACATTAACAGTCCCAGTTAACACGTGTCATAACACAGACATACTCATGGACTATCCTGAAGAAATTCAACAGTTATGAGATCTGAGCTGCATGAAATAGAATGTCAGCAACAGGAAAAAAATATGATCACGAGTTACAAGAGACATCACTGCAATGAGATCAAGTGCCCACAGCCGCTTGAAAAAGACAATTACTTAGAGATACAAAAGGAAAGGATTACTGTATGACAATTTCAGTCTAGTTTTCCTGAAAGTCAATGGACCTCATGAAATGGGCAACCACTCTTTCTTAAACTCTAAAACATCTAGTAATAAACCTTCCACACAACAACCATGTGTTGCAATCTAATTTTTACGGAATTTTTTTATTATTGCTATTGTTTTTCTTTCCTTACCAATCAACAATATTCACAAACCACCCTACCTATTTGTTTACTACTGGCTAAATTAGGGGAAGAGGGGGGAGAGGAAAAGTAAGCTCAGATATTGCAATGAATTTCTATTGTCATCTTCTTTCTGAAACCCCAAGTTCTCCCTCCTTTTTCACAGCACATCCCTCCTCTTTATTCTCCCATCTTTACATTTCTAAATGTAAAAATAAAGAAAATGCACGTACACAGGCAGTGTTGCCCTGAGAGCTACTAGCTCCTTACCCCCCCCTTTCCGCCGCTCCCTGCCATTTGCTACTGCCCCTATTTCATTACCAATTTTAATTTGCCTCTAATTAAATCCTGTGTATTTTTCCGACTCACTTGCTAATCCATGAGGGAGGCAGGAGGCTGGAGTGGAATCTCTCCGAGCTATAATTACAAAGGGCCTAATCACGTTGGGGCTCTGCCTTTGAATAAATTTCCTTGCATTAAGGTTCTCAGATTCTCTGCCTTGCAAATGAGAATGACCCCAATTTCAGGATGTTGGCCTCAGAGGATTTTTTTTTTTTTATTTCGAGCCCTGATTCGTGATGAGAGACTAATTCGTTACGCTAAAACATTAACAGCAATTTAAAAGGTCGAATGGGGGCCGTATAAACAAAAGAGCTGGCCAAGACAACAAGGCAAAAGCGAGAGATGGGAAACAATCCCCCCACCTTAGAGATGTTACAGTTCTTGGAAACTCAATGAATTAGACTTTTCCTCCAATTTTGGATACTGTTTATTTTTCAAGGTCTTCTCCCCACTTAGTTATCCAATTGTAATTATGCAGTTGTTCCTCCTCAATGCCTCTATTCCCCAAATTTAGAAAGGAAGGCCTTCTTTTTTATTTTTTGTTATAAAGGGCATTTTTGTCATAAATGTTTGTAACCACATTAGGTTTGATATTGCTGACACATCACTTGACTAGTGAAAGAATTTAGCAGTAGAAAAAAAAAACTTCCTTCTTGGGGCTGAAAAAGACCACACCAATTGACAGAAACGGTAAGAGTGAGTTCTCATACTGGCATGCCTATTACAATTTAAAAAAAAAAGATATTTATATGAGATTATAGAAATAAAGTAGACAAAGGCTAACCGTAGAGTAAGAGTATGATGTATTTTTTTAATTCATCCATATATCAAAGAAAATCAGAAATCATTCCTTTTTTTGTTTTCTTATCGTTTTTCCTTTTGCATTTCTAGCTTCTTTCTTTTTTTTCTCTTTCTTAAACCTTTTTTCTTGTCTGTTTATTTTTTAAATTTTCCATTTATAAAAATCAATAAAATTATTTTTAAAAAAGAAAGTTAAAAAGCTTGCATCTGACTTTGCTTTGCTACTCCTTGGCAGCTAAAGAATTTGTCAATAGCCTTCAATCATTACTGAAGCCTTCTAGATCAGGGGTGCTCAACCTTGGCAACTTTAAGACTTGTAGACTTCAACTCCCAGAATTCCTCAGCTGGCTGAGGAATTCTGGGAGTTGAAGTCCACAAGTCTTAAAGTTGCCAAGGTTGAGGACCCCTGTTCTATATTGTGGGGACTCCGTGCTCCTTGGGCCAGCTGTGCAGAACTTTGCAATAGCTTCAGGGAATCTGCATGATATCATTGGTTTGAAAATAGTAAAATAAGTTGCAACCTAATAAAATGCTTTCCCTAATTGCTTTGCTGATGTTAATTCAGAAACCCAGACAGTATTTTTTCTCCTGCATGTTTTTCAATGACATTTAAACTTTTCACTTTCTGTGGCATTGATGGTAGCGTGAGGTTCAGATAAATGCTAAATACTGTTTGGTAGATTATCTGTAACCAGAATAGCCTCACCGAAGATTACCTGTAATAGATATTTTACAAATAGAGGACATGGTGCATGTGTATGTAAGAAAGCAAGAAGTGAGTTGAAGAGGGCAGGAAAAGAATTAAAATTATAAAACTTAACAATTCCATTTCAGATAAGAATCGAATCTATATCTCTACATAATCCCAACACTGAAATCAAAGATATGTTAGCCTCTTTCTATAAAAATGCTGTTGCCTTATTCGATATCTGGTTGGAACACATATTTGGAAAACAAATGATGCATTTTTTTTCTTATGGCTCACAAGAATGATAATGCATTTGGAAATATACCATTCATGTTTTCTTCTCAAGATAGGGTTGTGATTTTCTTGTAGGGACAGTATCCTGTGCACATTTGTTTTCTAATTAGACAACTAACCAGATGCTATGATTTAAAAGTGAGTCTTGCTCTTCTGGTAATCAGAGGTCCAGTTCCAAACCAAGATTTGATTTAGCATCAGTGTGCTATTTTATTGCTTTGGCCCATATCCTGTAAACAGAGGTGTGACGTTATCTTATTTTGTATACCTAGTAAGAAATGTAATAGTAACATAATGACTGTGATTTATTATTGATCCCCTTTCATTCTATACTATCCTCACATCTTTCTGGAATTTTTTTACAAGAATGTTAGTTCAAATTTATAAGCATAATTTTGTACCACAATTCCAGCCTGATAGCTGACACAACTTGGCTGCTGAAGGATCCTCAACATTTTAGCATTTTGGAACTTACCATCTTTTATTCTTCTTTATCTTCCCACCAGTGGGTGGTAGCATGGTTCTGTCAAGCACATCCTGCTTTTTTTTTTTTTGCCTCAATTCTGTGACTCTCTGCTCTAGGGAGGCCTTCTTGCCTGATTTTATGCAGCTTTTGTATTTTTACAGAATATTTGTCTAATATCAGCCTTGGCTGCTCTGTTTGTTTCTTATCTTTGCCTTTTCTAATGATGTTTGCTTTATGCCTCTGGCCCAGCCGGTCTCTCCAGCTCAAATCCCAGCCATTTAGTATCTCCCTCAGTTCCTTACCATGTGTGCTGCTGTTGTCATATCATTGAAAGCCTCCTCACACCTGTCTCTTTATAGGCACTGGCCACTTTACCTTTTGGCACCTGTTTACTTTGCATTTTGCTCAGCTTCTACTAAAAGAATATTTCAAAGTGCTCTAGAAGGATATCTAAATGTTATTATCATTAAAATATTGAAACACTTTCTTTGTACCACACAAAATATATACAGTATTTGCAGAAAAAAAACACATGTCCTGGTGTTAAAATCTCTGTTCTACCGATAATCCCTTTGGAAAAAAAAGACACTTTGCTTTAATTCTTCCAATGAAAAAGAAAAGCATATCTAGAACTTCCTCTGATAACTAAACAGCCATGTTGGAAGAAAACCCGCAAAAATAATTTAAAAGAAGTTTTTCACAGACAGGGACTTTAAAGTATCATTCTTCAATTTGCAGTAACATTTTTTTCTAATATAGACAGGATGGCTTATATGTGTGTATCAATAGAGAACACATAGATGGACAACTTTTTCTCCTCACCACTTCCTGCAAAGGTATAAACACAAACATTTGGATGTCCAGTTTCTAGCCTCACCTCACTAGTTCTAAAAGGAAGTCTGTCTGACATTTTTCCAGGACTCTCTTCTCACCCCATTTTCTCCACTTGCAACATGCACAGTATATAATTTGTTTAGTAGTGTGCTTGTACTTGTACTTTTGAACCAAACCATTAGAGGGAGTCAATGATTGGTCAATGATTAGACCAGTTTGTTTCAACTTTCAGTTTCATAGACACCTATTCTGATTAACGATGTGGTTTTTGCTTCAAAGTAAAGAAAGAAAATAATAGTGTTATCTAACCACATCTTGACTCAGATCTGTCCCTATCATAAAAAATAAATATTAAAACACTGTAGGTGGTATGGGTCTTCCTCTAATCTCAGGTCCTGTACTAGAAGACTGGGAGTTTGAAAATTGTGCGCATTACGGATCCCCAGCCTGTGGACCAGCGGCATGCCAGAAACTGGGCTGCGCAAACAAGCAAAGCCCCATCTGCGAGATGCAGGCAGCATGCAAAACCGCGCCCCCCTCCAGTCCGTGGAAAAACCTCTCTCCATGGAACTAGTCGGTAGTGCCCAACAGGTTGAGGGCCGCTGCCACAGTTGTGCCTAACACTGTACTCTTCTGGTCAGAAGAGTCTGGAATCTGTTGGAGCCATTTAGAAGTCACAGCCCTGAGTGTTCCTATCATTTTGAGACCACTTTGGCCTTATTTTTCCACATCCTCTCTAATTCTTTCTTCAGGCCTAGTACTTCTCCAGATTCTCATACTTTCTGAGGCAGTCACTTGACACCACTACATCTATCACCAATGCTGTTTTCACACCACAACCCCATGAGTATGTGTGTGTGT